CTGGTGTCTATGTGTGTGTGTGTCCGTCTGTGTGTCTGTGTTTGCATGTCTGTGTGTGTGTTTGGTGTCTATGTGTCTGTGTATCTATGTGTCTGTCTGTGTGTCCGTCTGTGTGTCTGTGTTCGCATGTCTGTCTGTGTGTGTGGTGTCTGTGTCTGTGTATCCGTCTGCGTGTCTGTCTGTGTGTCTGTGTTCACATGTCTGTGTGTGTGTCTGGTGTCTATGTGTCCGTCTGTGTGTCTGTGTTCGCATGTCTGTGTGTGTGTGTCCGGTGTCTATGTGTCTGTGTTCACATGTCTGTGTGTGTGTGTCTGGTGTCTATGTGTCTGTCTGTGTGTCTGTGTTCGCATGTCTGTGTGTGTTTGGTGTCTATGTGTCTGTGTATCTGTGTGTCTGTCTGTGTGTCTGTGTTCACATGTCTGTGTGTGTGTCTGGTGTCTATGTGTCTGTGTGTCTGTGTGTCCGTCTGTGTGTCTATGTTCGCATGTCTGTGTGTGTGTTTGGTGTCTACGTGTCTGTTGTGTGGGTCAGTGTTGCTACCCTCTGGGAACAGGCATACTGTTGGTTGGCCTCTGGCTGGACACCAGGTTGACCACTGAAGTGCGTCGGCCCTGCTGTTTCTGCCCCTGCATCTTGCCCTTTGCCCTGTCAGAGCCAGCATCTGCCCAGAGAGTGCGTCGGGGAGCGTCACGCACCAGGCAGGCCTTGGCCACGTGTCCACACACCTCTGGCATGTGGGGAAGATGCTCGTGTCCGCAGGGCCTCACTTGGCCTCCTGGGGCATGACCGGGGGGGGGGCCTGCCTCCCTGGCTGTGCAGGGCAGGTTTGCCAGCGGGTGGCCAGGTGGCTCTGGTGGCCGGGAACCCTCACAGCTCAGCTGTGTTTCTTCTGCTTAAATGTTTTATGCTCTGGCCGGTATCCATCTAACTCAGGTTCCTGGGGTGCCGTCTGCCCTGGGACGCGCTCGCCACGGCTTTGTCCCCGTTCGCACCGGAGATGTGTAACTCAGCCCGCTGGCACACACGTCCTTCCTGCCCTCTCTACAATTCGGTGCTCCGTTCAGCTCCTTCAGTCCTCTGGCAGACACGGAGGTCAAGGCACTGCCCCCCATATTCCTGAATTTCCTTGAAGACCTGAACGCTCAAAGGGGACTGTGCTTGGCCACTGAGCCACCCAGCCTGTGAATCCTAGGGGTCGACTCTACCACCTGAGTGAGAGGACCACCCCCCAGATGAGAAGACCACCCCCCCAGATGAGAGGATCCCTGAGGTGAGCAGACTCCGTAGTCGAGAGCATCCCCCCGGCGAGAGCAGCCCGGGCCCCCCCCGACGGCAGGGCATGCTGGGACCCTGTCTTCTGCGGGCCCTGCGCTGCCCGGGGCCCTCCCTGCCTCCTCCTCTGGAGCTGGTGGGGTGCACTGCATGATGGAGACCAGCAGAGGTCCGGAAAACAGGGCAGGACTAGGGGTCTGGAGGGAAGGCAGCCTGCCCCCACTGCAGGCCTGTGCTGTTTGCTGTTTAACGAGGCGCCACCACCAATCAGGAAATCCATTCCCACCTCTGCGTGGGCCCCGCCCCCTCCAGCTGGGCCCTTTTCTTTCTGAATGACTCTCTGCAGGTGCCAGGCTGCTGGGAGGAGCTATTTTGAGCCTGGCCCTTCCTGTTTCCTGTGGCTTTCTTTGTGCCCCTCTCTGGGAGGGCGAGGGGAGGCTGGGCTGACCAGCTCCTGGCTTCCTGCCCTCAGATCCCAGATCCGGGAAGGGGTAGTGGTCACAACAGCCGGTGGGGCGGAGCCCAGGCCCAGCCTGTGGGGGGACTCTTCTCCTGCTCCCCAAACAGCCACCTACTCAGGACCCCTGAGGGGTCACTCAAGGGTACCTCAGCCTGAAGACTGACGGCAGAGTGGCAGCCAGGGCCTCAGGCCTCCTGCTGCACCCCCCTCCCTGGCAACACTAGGTGGTGGGGTGCATGCTGTTCCGCAGGCTGTGCAGACGGGCGCACGGACAGACACGTGTCGGCTGGCCCGTCCGAGCCTGGCCCTGCTGCCTGCTGTCTGCGGAGGGCTGAGGCAGGCGGGTCTCCCTGCCCCTCTGCAGTTGCCAAGCCGACTCAGCAGCTCAGCCTCTGGGCCCTTCCCTGGCTGCCTGCTGGCCTCTCCCTCCGTGCAGGTGGGTCCCCGTGAAACAGAAAGGCTGTACATCTCCCGTTCCTCCCCCAGGTCTTCACCCTACACTGCATCCACCAGCCAGGGACACAGGGCTGCCACCTGCAGTCAGCCTGCCTGATGCCACCCCATGGGGACTCTGGGCCTGTGGGCTCCTGGGGCTCAGGTCCTAAATAAGCTTCAACAATGAGGGGACAGGCTGAGTGAGGATGCGCACACACAGGTACACACGTTTAGGGAAATGGACATGCGAGAACAAGGGAGGACACACGTGCACAGACGTACATACGCTCAGGGAAACATACACAAGAATGGGTGCCTCCTCTAGGGTGTCTGTGTGTATGCACATGTGCACATACCTGACATACACACATATACACATGCATCATGTACACCACACACAAATGCACTAGTGTACAGGACACCTATGAGCACGTGTGCACATGCACATATATGCACATAGAACACACTGGCCACACATGTACACATCCAGACGTGTCCATAATGCACCCACGTGTACAATACATGTGCATACAGATACATATATGTGTACACATGCATCCATCACACACTACACAGACACAAACACACACAGATGCAATGCACACACCGACACACATGTATGCATATACATGTATATACACAGAGACAGAAACATACACACATGCCCATGAAGATACACGCATGCATGCACACATGCAATGTACATGTGTACACACATACACTTAAATAGACACACAAACACACTCAGACACACATGTATACACATATACACATGCATACATATGTACAGACACTACACACATGCAAATACACATGTGCACACACAGGTCAGTCTACAAACACATACCTGCATGCAAACACACACTTATACACACACCTGCCCACATGCACACATACAGAGATGCATGTGCAGACACACACACACACACTTATGTGTATACACACATGTGCACGCACAAACATGTACACACACGTGTAGACACACATGGCGGCCTCTGTGGGTGGTTGGCACGTGGTCTGGACACGTGTAGATCTCCCTTCTGTGTGCTGTGAACCGTGGCCCGTTCGTGGTCTGTGCCCCTGTTGAGAGATGTGTCTCAGTTCCACCCAGCTCCTGGGTGGACAGGGACCGGCTTTCTGTCCCCGGGGCCCTGTGTCCAGCTGGCTCTGGCTGTGGGGAGTGGTGCTGCGGCCCTGTGACCATCACGGCAGGTGTGTGGACGAGTGCCTCTTGGTACTGTGCCCCTGGAAGGGGAGACGGGTGGTCTGTGAGGAGGGCCAGCACCCTGACAGCTTCGGCCGGGAAATGCCGAGAATTGTTAGTGGTTTTTTTCTCTCTCGCTGAGGGGCCGCGGGGCCCGTTTGCTCTGAGCTCACCCTCCGGTCTTGCCTTGGGCCCTGGCTGATCCTGCTGTCTGAGGCACTGTCGCCCACAGTCTCGCCGTGAACGGTCCCCATGCTCTCGGGCTGCACAGCAGGTCTGTGGTGACACAAGACCCAAGAGGGGCTTCCGCGAGGAGGAACCTTTGTCGAATGTTTGGAGGCCAGCAGTGCACGCGGGGCGCCGGCCCTGGGGAGGCTCCGCCCTGCTCGGCGGCCCTGGGCTCCTGGACGTCGACACCGGCGTCTTCCTCATCTTCCTCGTGTGACTGCTGGTCTCCTCCCCTTTTCTGAAACACCACTCGGAAGGGACAAGGACACTCTTACACCACTTACTGGTACCATCTGTCTCTCCACACAGGGCTGCGTTCGCAGGATGGGGGTTGGGACCCGAATGCACCCTTCGGGGACAGAACTCACCTGCTGACAGACAGCCCCCGACCACACGTGCCTCTGAGCACTGCACTGTGGTCTGAGGACTGCACTTGAACTTTGATTTCACTGAGCTCGTTGAGTGTCACTTGCGTGGCCACATGTGCCCAGTGGCCACGGTGCTGGATGGGGTGGTCTGGCGATGCAGCCAGGAAGGCAGCAGGCCCAGCCTGGAGCCCGCCCCACCGCTGCCGGCTTGTGCTTCGGGGCGGGCCCCGGATGCCGTGTCTCCCAGCATTGCCTCTCGTTGCTGGGCAACGGTGCCTTCCTTCTCCCAGCGGGGCAGTTGGTGCCGAGTGAGGACCCGCCACGTCCCTGGGAGGGGCTGCCAGGCGAGGCAGCCTCAGCCCCCTCGGGGACCCCGGGAGAACTCAAGCTGCAGTCCCTGACTGGCCCTGGGGTTTTCACGGACTTGGGGTGATCCAAGAAACAGGTGTCCTGGGGGTGGAGATAGCGGTCAGCAGTGTCCCAAGGGGCTGGGACACAGACGCACGGCGCTGAGGCCACCTGCCAGGGCGGGGGTGGGGCCCCAGCTGGGCCCAAGGGGCTGCCTCCCTGCACAGGCCCCCCTCATGGGTGCCCCGTGGGAGGGGGCTCCCTGGGTCCCCCCCAGTGTGTGCCTTCCTGCAGTGAGCCCCGCCCCTCACACCCCCGCCCCTGCAGAATCCCTGCTCACTTGGTGTGGTGGTTATCTTTTTGTGTCAGCTTGGCTGGGCCTGGTTGAGTGGCTGGGCAGCTGGTGGAAGTTAATCCCCATGAAGAGACTGGCAATCAGCTCCATGGTGGGATCCATCACGAGCGGCTGAGTAGCTAGCTGCCTTTTGGATGTGTTCTGCTTCCTGTATATAAGGAGCAGCTTTGAGAATGGTCTCTAGCCTGTGGCACGCTTGGACCCTTCATGTAGCTGTGTCGTTGCTTAGAAGCCTGCTTTGCTCTGCCGACCTTGGGACTTACAATGGACTTAAGTCAATGGCCTGCCATGTGGTTTGGTAACATCGGGACTGTGCCTTTTTTTGCTTGTCAACTTTGGGGTTTCTCAGCCTCAGCAGCCAGCAGCTGTCTGAGTGAAGAAATGTCTCTAGCTCCAGTGGGCCGAGAGCAGGAGGCAGAGCTGGACCCCAAGGTTGAGGGGCTGTCACCCAGCCCCTAGAGCCTGGCACTTTGAACTTGGACTTAACGCCTCCAAACTGTAAGAGATTAAACTCCTATTTGTTAAGGCCATCCCATTTGTGGTATATATTTCTCGTCAGAGCGGCACCAGGGAACCAGAACACTTGGGAACCTCGCTAATGCCTCACAAAGCAGGGGGTGTGCCGGCCTCAGGCCCCCACACCCACAATTATGGTGGGGTCCCTGGATCTTGCCTTTGGGGGTGCAAAATGGCCTGGGGTCCGGTCCTCTGGAGCATTCTGGGCTGGAGCCAAGCTCAGTGGGCACCCTCCCTGCACTGATATGGCAGCTCCCTGGGGGGCCGGGGGGGGGTGCAGCATGTTCCAGCATGTTCCAGGGACTGTCACCACAGAGATCTTGTTGAGTCAGAAGCCCTGTGATAGAGACGTAGCACAGCCCGCCCCCCAACTTCTAATATGCTTCCTCTGTCCCCCATCACCATCACCCCATGTTCTGACAGTGGGGGGGCTGCTGGGGGGGCGTGAGCACAGGACCAGCCGTTTCTGGTGCTGCGGTAACAATATTCCACCAAACCCCAGAACCACACCCACCGCCATGAAGTGGATTCTGACTCACAGCGCCCCCCACTGGGCTTCCAGGACTGTTCATCTTTACGGAAGTAGACTGCCTCATCGTCCTCCCACAGAGCAGCTGGTGGGTTTGAACCGCCGACCTTGTGGTTTGCAGCCAAACACCTTACCCGCTACACCAGCAGAGCCCTTAACAAATACTACAAGGGGGTGACTTTGACAGACAGACATTTATTCCTCACAGTTTAGGGGCCGGAAGTCCAAACTCGGTCCAGCTCTCCGGGTAGACTCTCTCTCTGGCGGACGGTCCTGGTCTCCTCTGAGCTTCTGCCCTTGGGCAACCTCCATGTGGCTTGGCGTCTCTCTTCCCCCGTCCCCTCCATCTCAGGAGGGGTCAACTCAAGCCATGTCCACCACTAGTCCTGTCTCAGCATAACACAGACAGCCCCTCTCCACATGGGCTTACAACCATGGGCCTGGAGGTCGGGACCGCTGGGAGACACGATTCAAGGCACAGACCAGCGTAACACAGCGCACTGCCTCCTCAAAGACAGACCAGTTTAGGGGAGAGGCAGAGGGTCCCCTACCAGAGAGGGGCTCCCTGGGGCTTGGCCCTGAGCCCACAGCTCCCAGGACCATTGGCCGGCCAGGCGGGAGGGGTCTCCAGGTGCATCACGGGGGCCAAGGCCCAGGGTCCTGAATACCCTCCTCGCTGTCGCTGGCCCACTGCTGTGCCCGCCTTGGCTGGGGGCTCTCGTGCTGGGCTGCCCCGCCTGGTGGTCTCTGCCCTCCTCCTGCAACCCTGTGCTGGTGTGAATGGAGGTCACCCTTCCCAGATGGCTGTCACCGGCCCAGCACCCGGCCCCCCTACCCCCCAGGCTTCAACAGAGGCTGTGGAGATGCACCCCCTAGGTGGGAGCCAGGATGGTGGCCACAAGGAGAGAAAAGCCAGCTTGAAGGGCGACTGGTGGTCCAGGACGGGGGTGCCTGGTGCCCCGAGCACAGTCAGCTGAGGACCGCCCCACCTCCAGGCAGCCTTGTCACAGTGGGGACTGCAGTGGCCCCTCAGATGGAGGTCAGCACCCACAGCTGTCTGACGGTATGGGGACCAGGTGCAGCAGGGCTGTGTCCAGGCCAGGATCATTGTGCCCCCCCCTGGGGACACATCTCAGCACCACACACTGTCAGGGGCTGGGAGGGGGCAGCCCGCAGCTGCCGGCATGTTACTGGGGGACAGAGCAAGCTCCCGCTCACCAGCCACGCTACTGGCCACGTCCCCTGTCCCTGTCCCGGTGTTCCTGTCCACGTGTCCCTGTCCCCACATCCCGTGCCCACGACCCCTATGCCCATGTTCTTTGTGCCCATGACCCGTGTCATCCTGTGCCCGTCCCCTGCACCCATGGCCTGTCACCTCATCCCCCCGTGCCCACATCCCCTGTCCCTGCGTCCCTGTCCCAGTGTCCCTGTCCCCACATCCCATGCCCACATTCACCTGTGCCAACACCTGTGCCCATGTCCCCTGTGCCCATGACCCATGCCATCCCATGCCCATGTCACCTGCGCCCATGGCCTGTGCCCACATCCCCTGCCCCGCGTCCCCTCTGTGCACGGTAGGCAGAGAAGACCCCAATTCTTCCTCTGAGGCTCATGACCTTCTGGATTTGGACCTTAAACCTGTTTCAGTTTAGAGGCTGGTGGGGGCCAAGTGATGGCCCCCCAAAATACACCGATGTCCTAACCCCTAGAACGTGTAAAATTCGTCCACACCCTGACCCTCAGAACCCAGGAGGTGCCCTTCTCTGGAGAAAGGGTGTTTGTAGGTGCAATTACGTGAAGATCGGTCTTCAGATGGGAGGTCAGCGCTATGATCTGAGGGCCCTACATCAACAACAAGGTCCTTGTAAGATGGAAGAGGGAGGTTTGAGACCCTTGGGGCACAGACGAGAGCTGCCACGTGAAGACGGAGCTCCGATGGAGCGATAAGGCCACAAGCCAAGGAATGCTGGGGGCCGCCACCGGCAGCTGAGAGCCAAGGAAGGGCCCTCCCCTGGAACCGAGGGGTGTGTGGCCCTGCCCTGCCCTGCCCTTGGCCTTCTGGCCTCTGCAAGAGCTCCTGCGCGCGACCCAGGTGGCTCCGCCAGGCCCTGAGGCGGGAGGGATGAGGGACCTGGATCCTTGCCCTGCCCTGCCCCGGCCCTCCCGGGGGGAGGTGGGGCTGTGCACTGAGACCCACCCAGCCTGGGACAGAACCAGACCCCAGGGAACAGGCTCCTGGGGGCCAGGGGCGGGGTGCTCACCTCAAGTCACCCTCAGTGACTATTCCAATGAGACCCCACCGCGTCACTGGCCATGCTCTCCTGGGGGGCCACAGCCCCTCCGGTGGCGGCCTGTGGGAGTTCAGGTTGTCTGTCCACTTGGCCAGTTTTGAGTGGCTGGGCAGCTGGATGTAGTATTCCCCACGACGAGACTGTCATCAAGTCCGTGGTGGAATCTACTGGAGGTGGTCTGCTGCCAGTGCGCAGGAAGCACCTTTGAGGAAGGTCTCGGAGCGTTTTGGCACGTCTGCATCCTGCATTTGGCTGGGTCTTCATCTTAGTGGGCTGCCAGGCTGTTTCTGGACTTGAACTCATGGCCTGCAGTGTTTCTCGATAATCTTGGGACTGTGCCATTTTACTAGTTGACCTTGGGTTTGTCAGCGTCAGCGGCCAGCAGCTGCCTGAGTTAAGAGATGCCTCCAGCTGCAGTGTGCTGGGAGCAAGAGGCAGAGCTGAAGCCCGAGCCTGAGGGGCTTGCACCCAGCCCCGAGAGCTGGCATTTTGAACGCAGACTTCTAGGCTTCAGAACTGTAAGAGAGTGAACCCGTTTGTTCAAGCCCCCCATCTGTGGCATGTCTGTGTGAGCAGCACTGGAGAAGCAAACAGTCCCTCGAGTGTCTTCCCTGCACCTCTGCCAGGATGCCCTCATTATCCAGGGGCACCTTGGGCCTGCACGAATGCATGTGTGCCACACACTCGGGGGCGAGGAGGGGCCTCCACGTGCCCTGGTCGACAGGCCACGGTTTGAACTTTGTCTCCAGTTACCTCGAGGGAACTCAGCCATGTCTCCCGATCCCAGCTCTGGGTGAATGTTCTACCAGG